CGAACGTCTCCTTGCTACCGCGATCTTGCCCACAGGAAGCCGCGACCGCGTGGCAGCAGGGAAAATCGCTGCGGATCCGGTTCGTAACTCGAGGCGGAGGTCGGCAGGCGAGGTAAATTTTTGGGGCCGGAGCTGGTCGTATCTCGAAAAATTCGTAAGGAGGGGCATTCCTAACTAGAGGTACTACTGTATTGATAAAGGGGATATAATAACAGATCATGCACCATTTACATTTTGTAGTCTGTTGTATAATTTTAATAAACCTAAATGTGAATTTCACATGTGGAAAAAGTAAATACATCCTTACATTTATCACTGCCTCAGGTACCTTAAATTAGAATCAAGTGTACCAGATCAGGTGTAAATGATTAGAACATTAGAGAGAATCTGGGAGCAACCTGTCTTATTTAAACCTCAGACCTTTAGTTTGATTTACTCTTTATTGTTGAAGTATATGGAGGCAAAGATAGAGTTATTTGGCCACAGTATCAGAAGACATTTTTGATGAAAACCAAAGACAGCATTTCACCAGAAGAACCTGATGTCAACTGTAAAACATGGTGGTGGAAATGTTATGGTTTGAGGCTAGTTTGCTGCATCAGGACCTGGGCATCAGGACCTGGGCTAGTTTGCTGCATCAGGACCTTTTGTTCAGTTACTCAACTTTATATGCTGTTTGAATGAAGCTAAAATGCTGATATGTCCACATATTGTAAAAAAAAAAAAAACTTGGGGTGCACTTATTTTTTCACATGACTGGAGTTCTATGAAAGGGTTTTATTAATACAGCCGATTCTTGTTATTCGTGGTAGCTACATTCTCTAAAGTCGCTGTGAACACTGAAATAGCAAATACTGAACCATTGCTCCTAGGAGAAATAAAGGACATTTGTTTACAGTATGAAAAGATTGAGTGTGGCCTTGTTTGACCTCAACTGGGAATGTGTGCATGGGACGACTCAATTTTTTTGCCCTCTGTACATGTCTGCAAAATACCACAAAACTGCCATGAGTATTGATTTTGGGGTTACAAATGCACTTTAGCAAGTAGGTGAATTTGCAAATATGGAATCTGTAAATAATGAGGATCAACTGTATCTGGTTTGTTTTGCTTAGAGTTAGCATTTTGTCTGAATCCAGCTACTGTTTTTTCTGCTTCATGATTTATAGCTTGGTTTATTGTGCAAATTTGAGAAGCTATTGTAAACAAATTATAATCCAAGGTGCAAATTAGGCCCCAGTCCAGTATCTCATGAGAAAGTGAAGTAAGCTGCTTTCATGTCAAGCACAAGCTCTGTTGGTAGAGTGTACTCTGGAAAGAACCACTAATCAACTGCTATTGTATCTGTGTTTTAAAATGCTCACTGTAGCATCATAGGAGTAAAAGGACTATATTGTAATGTATCTTGAGCTGAAAGACAACTTTTCTGCATCAACTGTCTATTGTCTTCTCATTTAAACAGTTAACAGCTGTTTGTTTCAACGTAGTGCTTTCCTTGTGCATATAACTCATCCTGGTTGTGCTGAAAACAGAGAGATAGAAATTCAGACAAAATTGAGTTCTTAATGACAGTGTTTGAAAATTCTGAGCAATCTTTTTGTGCCTTATTTTTTGTGCTAACATGAATAACAGTAATCTTAACAATAACCTTAAGAAATGAGTTATTTCAGGTTTGAGCCTTGTACCCTTTTTTACTTTGTTGATGTTCTCAACCCAGAGATCATTTTCTTTTATCCCAATTGTTTTGCTACCCAAATAGCACTTTTGGGTGTAAGCTGTAATATTCTAGTATATCGTATAAGTTATTTCAATATCTTGTTGGAATCACAGTAATTGCTCAAAGGAAAGGTACCAAAAAGTATTTTAGGGACCACTGGTTGTTGGCTGCACACTAGGAGACAATGCTGCTTTATCCTTTCCCCTGGTGTACACTCCCTCCCAATTATTATTTTTTTTATAATGGTTGAAATCTTAGGTGATCTCCAAATCTCACAGGTTTTTGGCATTCTTGCCTCATATATCTCAAGGCTTAAATTGGGAACACAAAAATCTTGCAAGGTTTGGCACTCTTGCACAAGTTGAACCATTTTATGTGTAAGAATTAAGGATATTTTATGAAGCAGGAACACTGAATTATGGCCCATAGGTACCAGTATGCCACTTTTAACACAAATAGTGGTCTTCAGTTTTCGATTATGATACAGTCTACATAAAGGAAAATGTGGTGAATTGCTTTACAAAATTAGGGAGTGTGTTTTTGGCTGTAATCTTTTTTCAAACATTTAATTCATGCAAAGGTTTGTAGGGGAGAAAATCTGTTCTTAGAGTTTACTGTATATGGCAGAAACCTTTTTTAAGACGAGAAGTGTAAGTATAGGTAAGGATCTACATCTCAGTAGTTCACTGGACTAAATCCATATACCCCCAGTTCCAAAGTTGGGTATTGTGAAGAAATTTTGATTGAAGAGAGGACTTCCTAGCAGTCCTCTTTGGAAGATGGAGATTCGGTCTCTCAAATTCTTATTTTCTCCTGAAGTACTTTTCCTGCAAATTGTTGGCCAGGATTTTAAGTAATAGGGCTTTTATCTTGCATCTTTTTCCCTATCAGCAGCATCAGCGCTATGACACTGAAACACAATTTCAAACACATTTGAGTTCATAGTTCCAGAGAAGTAATATGTGGTGAGTTAATTCTGTTGGTCTGAAACAGAATAAACAAAATTTGTATATGTTCTTGCTCCCCCAAACTCCTGAAGCCTGTGGCTAAAACACTGTTACTTCTGCTCCCCTACCCCAATTCAGTAGGTTTTTCTTATCCCACAGACAAATTAACAAACCTAATTAGAGCCTGACAGAAAGCTGGAAGATTAGACTGATTGTCTAATGTATTTATTGGCTACCTGTGAACCTGCACATTAAAAAAAAATCTATTTGTATTAACTGCTCTAGTAAATATGGCCTTCTAATTTTTATGCCAAGTCAACAACTAGCAAAAAACAGGGTAATTGTAAGTATAACTGACTTTATTGTAGAACATATCTGAGTCTGTTTCTTTTATTACCTATTATGAAAACTAAATAAAATACCACTTTCTTTTAGAATTGGTAGCCAACAGTTCTGGGGCCCATTTAGAGAGTATAAGAGGTATGTGTAATAGTTATTTGCTGGATTATTTGAAGTTTCTCACAACTTCTCTGTATGATTGCCTCCCACCCAGCTTTTCGGACAACTATTTGTTATATGTGTAATAGCTGTATGAACTATAAAAGGTATTAATTGAAATAATTTTCATTATATCCTGGCTTCTACTGTTTAGAAGATTGGACTCACAGCAGAGTTAACATAGTTTTGTGGAGGCTTCTATCAGTTTCCAAACTATGGATAGAGAAGACAGCTATGGTAAGATAAATTTAGATTAATGAAAGTGGCTGCTAGATGTGACTCTGCATGAATGAATATCATGTGTTTGTTTCTCCTTAATCTTAGCTGCCACCTGGGGTCCTCTTCATAGTCATCCCTGAGCAACTTGGAAATTAAGGGAAAAAGAAGACATTACATATCCAAGGGGAGGGAGGAATAAATATAAATAAATGCAATAAAGTTTGGTGACATCAAGGCTCACACACATTATGGTGGGTCTTCATAGTCAAAAGTTTGTGTTGAGCAGAACCCTAACTTTCCTACTAGATCAGGAGCAGGGGGGAATATTTTGTCCTTGACCTTGTGCAGTTCTAAAACACAACAGAATGCCAAGGACAATTCCTTGTTCCATTGTCATCTCAGTGATTGAGAGTAGAGTGCACTAATCTAGTAGCATTACTGCTCATCTTCATTGTATTGCATTTCTGCAGTGCTAACAGTTTTTCAAAAGTATAGTGTGGTGCAGAAAACCTCCAGCTGTGTTTGAGCTGGTTGACTAGTCTGGAATCATCTCTGTAGGTCACTGAGCTTCTGAGTCCCATTAAACACCTCTGCAATTACAGTAATGATTCTCACATCCTCTCCAGCTTAAAGCTTAACAGAAAATCTGCTTTCCATTTCAAAGGCATCCAGAACACTCAAAAGCGCAGTGAAATTGTACATATAATTCCACTTGTGAACTTCACATTGGGGGTAGTGCTGAAATTCAGTTGTACCTGCTCTGCTTAAATGTGCTGTGAGCTATAGAAATGATTCCTCCACCCATAATCCAGTCCCAGAGTCAGGAGAAAGGCATGTCATACTCGGGCTTTCTTTCTACAACACGTTTCATTATATGAAGAGAAGATAACATGCTGTGTGAACTCATTAACCCAGTCAGTGGGTGGGAGGGGGCTTATAAACTCAGTTTGCCCCCAAACAACTCTGTAGGATGAGACTATCTCCCTAGGGCAGCCATGTTATACATATGGAACAAGAGAGTTGATAGAGAGTTATCCTTCCCATCCAGCTGTTGAAGCAGATGAAGTCTTAAGACTGGGGCTTCTTGTAGGCACTCAGTTCCTTCTATGCCCCTAGCAGCCAACTGGGAGTTGGGAATAAAAAGGTGGGTAAGTCCCAACCCTAATCAGGGTAATGCAGAATTTTAAACATTTTTTCTTCTCTGAGGGGAAAAAACCAAGTGACAGCCTCCTTTGTGGCAACTAGAAGGACTTTGCAAATACCAATTTTCAATTTTACCAAGACATTGAAGAACATGCACTTCCAGTGCATGGGGTAAGTCAGTTGCCAGAGGAATGTTTGGGCTGATTTAGTTTACTAGTAATAGGCATGAGATATAACAGGAATTGGATGCCTTTGTTTAAAAGCATCGCGTGCTTTCAACTATAGATCATACCTCTAAAAACATGTCAAGTAGATATGATTTTGCTGCACTTGGGGCAGTGTTCTGTTGAATTGTTTCATTTCTAAATGGAGTATAAATATACTAAATTATATTTCAGTTGTACAATCCAAGAGCATCTCACGTATGCTATTTTGTTAAATGCAATCTTTTACACTGATGGAAGAAATTTTGTTCATATAGCATTTCATTGGAAATACCCATACTGAAGAAAAGAAAAAAGAATCAGAACAGTCTGCTAGTAAAGATTCAATCTTAGACTTGCTTTTTATAGAACACTTGAGATTTTAATGATGTTCTCAGATTTTTCCTGTAACAATGTGTTGTTGTGGTCTCTAAATTGAAAGCACAGAGGATTTTGCTAAAGGTGTAGTCCAACACAGTGACTCCCCCACTTGGCTCAGAGATAGTCAAACAAATGCCACTTATCTTGTAAGGCCAGTGGGGACCATGCAGCAGCACCTCTTCAATTTTCTTGAATAACTCTTTTAATTGGACTGTCTAATTGAGTAGCTTCAGGGATGCAGATTCTCTGCAGCTCTCTGTTCATTTCATAAATGTGCTCATTAACATCTGCAGCACTGTCTTGCGCTACTGAGTACATTTCTTTGTTTAGTACCCTAATCACCTAAACCTTCTGAGTGAATTTAATTAGCCACCAAACTTGAAGTAATTTTGTGGTTATGGAATACTAAGAACTGATAGCTTTTCTTACCTATCTGATTAATTCCAATACATTAGTGTGTTTTTGCATTTCATTTACAAGAATACTTTTGGGATATTCAATAGACTTCCATGTTCTTTTCTAATAGATGCTTTGGATCCTGAAAAGCCAGTGCAATGTCCATATGACAAAAACCACCAGATCAGGGCTTGTAGATTCCCTTACCATCTTGTCAAGTGTCGTAAGGTAAGGTATGGAAATATTTTGTTTAAATGTAGTTGCTGATACAGGATATCTGCCTACTTGCTTATTTCCCAAATGATACATTTACTTCTTTTTTGGGTATGTCAGTGTTACTGCTCTTTCCCAATTTCTTCAGGGTATGTTTCAGTCATTCTTAATCTCCCTCATTCCATTCCCTCCTTTTTAAAATGTGGCCCTTTTTTCTATGTATTTCCAAATGACAGAGAAAGATTTGGCTATCCGCATTGGGTCTGAGTGGTACCAAATTCAAAACTGCATTTTTAGTCTTATAAATATGATTCTAGTATGAATCATTTTCCAGAACTTTACAACAATGTCACCAAATAATGAAAACATAATCTGACCTGCTCATTACATTTCCAGCAATTTTTAAAGAATTAATAAGCCATTTTAACCATTAAGACTGGAATAATATACCAACGATGGAAAAGTAGTATACTGAGTAGCTGGATCTGGAAAGTAGTCAATGGCTTGAAGGGAGAGGGGATGTTGCCAGCTACTTTGAAAGAGCTGGTAGTATGCCCTCTTGGATCCAACCAATTTAGACAGATGTTGCTGAGTCTTCAATCTTCCTTTTTTAGGAAGGTTGCTGAGAAGATGGTGAGGCTTCAGTTGCAGTGTGCCCTAAGTGAAGTGAATTATCTGGATTCCTTCCAGTCAGTATTCAAGCCTGGGAATGTACAGAAATATAATTATTTGCTCTGGTCGAAAACCTTGTCAGGGCTTGGATGGAAGGAGAATATGTCCCTCCTGGTCCTCTTAAACTTCACAGTGGTTTTCAGTATCGTTGACTGTGGTATCCTTTTGTACTGCCTATGAGGGTTGGGTGTCAGTGGTACTGTGCTTCAGTGGTTCTGCTCCTTCCTAAGCAAGACAGTTCTAGTCAGTAGAGTGGAGTGAGGAGGAAATGTCAACCCAGCAGTTACTCCATGTTGTCAAAAGTAAACAGTCTGGCCACTCCATTATCAGAAAGAGAGAAAGAGTTGGAAACAGAGTCTCTTACCCCCCAAAAAGAATGGCATTTAACCTTTATGGATAGAATGCCTGGAACCTGTGAGGGACTGAATGAGTAAGAACAAGATGGAAGTGCCATAAGGCTCTCTTGGCTTTTGGTTACTATCCTGAAGGAACAGGTCTGTGGCTCGGTCATGCTATTCATGGTTACTGCTAGATAGGCAGGTGGAGGCCATGGCGGGGGAGGGGGGGACTTTGCCCAAATTTGGCTGGTGCACCAGTTTCAGCCTACCTGGAACAGAAAACCTTGATAACAGTTACACCACCTCAATCCATTTAGACTCTGGATGGATGGATGGATGGATGGATGGATGGATGGATGGATGGATGGATGGATGGCAGGCAGGCAGGCAGGCAGGCAGGCAGGCAGGAAGGAAGGAAGGAAGGAAGGAAGGAAGGATAATGTAACAATATAAAAGTATAGTGAAACTTCTAGGCTGGACTACTGCAATGCACTCTGTATGGAACTACTTTTGGAAACTATTCTGAACTGTTTCAGCCTACCTGGAACAGAAAACCTTGATAACAGTTACACCACCTCAATCCATTTAGACTCTGGATGGATGGATGGATGGATGGATGGATGGGTGGATGGATGGATGGATGGCCGGCAGGCAGGCAGGCAGGCAGGCAGGCAGGCAGGAAGGAAGGAAGGAAGGAAGGAAGGAAGGATAATGTAACAATATAAAAGTATAGTGAAACTTCTAGGCTGGACTACTGCAATGCACTCTGTATGGAACTACTTTTGGAAACTATTCTGAACTTATGCCTGGTACAGCCTGTCTGCTAGTGTGTGAAAGCTTTCTGAATTATGTAACACTGATGTTGTGGGCATTGCATTGGTTGCCAAAGCCCTACATGCTTTGACACTTAGGTAGCTTTAGGACCAGTTGGTTCAAGTGGAGTGGACCCACTCAGTGAGTGCTTCCCATCGGGGATAGTGAGTATCCTTACATGTTAAATCAAGGTACAGTGGGTTAGAAAACAATGTTTCTTAGTTTGTGCACCATCCCTGTTTAACAGCTTAACTCCCAGAACTTCAGATGACATCCCCTGCTTGCTTTTAGAAAGATAGTTAAAACAGAACAGTTCTAAAGAACATTCTTAATTGATGTTTTAATTAATATTTTATGGTACTATTATTTGGTGACTTTATATAAATTGCCAAGAGTCCATATATAGTTAGCAATATACAAATGTTGTAATAAATAAATATTTGTAGACTAAATCCTTTTCAGTATAAAGTTACAGTAATTATAGCCCCATTTGTGGTTCAAAAAAGATGGCCTCTGGGTTCATGGAAAGTATCAGAGTAATTCTTGATGGTATGTGTAATAACTCCACGTAAATATAATTCTTATTTAAAATAAAGGGCTTCTCTAATTGAACACTTTTATTTTATATTCTGCAAATAAAAAGCTAGGTCAGAAAAGAAATTAAGATAGAAATGTTCTATGAGATAGTGTATTTACTTATAGGGCTTTTTTTTGTATGGGAGATGTTTCAGACATATGTAGCCCATGCAACTGCAGACCTAAGTGGCATATCTCAGAAATAGGTTCATCAGTTTAGTGAGAATTAGGCCATAGGCATCTGCTGTGAGAAATTAGGAAGGGATGTGAAATAGTATATCTTCATTTACAAAAATCTGCCTATGCAGGTGCTGATTCAATCCCTTGGCCTGTTTAATGTAAGCTGCTTATTTATTTATTTATATTTCAAATTTAGTCACTGCCCATCTCACTCAGAGAGCAACTCTGGGCAGTTTACAATAAAATAAGAATAAAAACCAGTAAAAATACAATAAAAATAGTATTCATAAATACATATAATATTTTATATTAAAGATAGTTTATAATATTATTCAGATGTTATTCCAGTATACTTCATAGCTCCTAAATAAGCAATCATGCATCAGCTCACACAGCCGAGGC